GCGGCGCCCTCGTCCCCCGATGTCGCTCGCTCGAAGGTCGAGGCGCTGCATGGGGGTGCTGACCTTTTATAGGGCCGCGGCCAGCGCGGCGGCGGCGCCCTCGCCCCCGACGCGGCTCCGACCAGGGTCGAGGCGCTGCGTGGAGGTGCTGGCCTTTACAGGGCTGCGGCCAGCGCGGCGGCGCCCTCGTCCCCGAGACCGTGTTCGCGTAGAGGTCGAGGCGCTGCATGGAGGTGCTGCCCTTTCTAGGGCCGCGCCCAGCTTGGCGGCGCCCTCGTCCCCGCTGCCGATTCCCCCGAAGGCCGAAGGCCCTCCGGGAGGCCTTCCGACGAGTACACCTCCGACCAGGGAGAGGGGCGCTCCCGGGGACCTCCCCTGGTCCTCCGGGAGGCCGCCAGATGAGGACCTCCCCTGGACCTCCCCTGGTCCTCCGGGAGGCTTCCCCAGACCTCCCGCAGGACCAGGCGAGACCTCCGGGAGGCCTCCCCTGGTCCTTTGTGGAGTCTCTGAGGAGGCCTCCCCTGGTCCACTGGGAGATCTCCGAGGTGGCCAGGAGTCGGGAACAGCAGAGCAGGTCTCTTGAACGACAGAGGTCTCCCCTCTTCCTCGGAGAGGCTCGTGAGCAAGGGAGCGGAGGGCCTCATGGGGTCCAGCGCCGATCCAAGAAATTCGCGCGGGGCTCCGCAAGTTTATGCTTACGGTCGGACATAGGACATAATCACATCCTCCAAGTACATGAAGCCCTCCGCCAGCCAAAGTGAAGAAGATTCGAGGGTACCCTCCCCCAGGATGCACAAGAGCATCCAATAAGCACGAGGAACAGTAGGGTACCCTTCCTGAACCGACCTCGATCATGTATCTTGGTCCGACCGTACCGCGGCACCTACACGATTCGGAGGCGCGGGAAGGTTAGAAAGCAACCCACTCAAGCCTTTTGCCGTCCCCATGTCGCCCAACAGCGCTCCCAATCGCGAGCAAAGCGGACAGGATGCATCTCCCTAAAACGGCGCTGTTGGGCGCTATTGGTCGCTGTTGGGCGCTATTTGAACGCTATTTGAATGTTGCTGGGCGCTATTAGGTGCTAGAGAGGGCACGATTCGCCGATGTACATTCAATCCAAGACGAGCGGAAAATTCCGTGATTTGCTGTCTAACGACTGCGATAACGCGGCACCTGCGCGATTCGGAGGTGTGGGAACGGGGTGCATGGGCCAATGCGAGCACGCACCGTTCAGCGCTGCAGGCATGGAAGCGCCAACGCGGATGCGATGCTCAGTGTAGCTGAAGCCAGGATGCCCGACAACTACCCTGCAGGAAGCGACTGCCAAGTGGAGGCTGTCCAGTGACTGCGCTGCGCCAGCGAGACAGGGGAAGCACCCGGTAGCGCTGTATTATCAGCGCAGCAGTGAAAGTGAAATGAAGTGGAAAACTGCCAAATACTAGGTACGCTACGCTGCTTGCTGCTAACACAATATGCTGAATGTGCCTTGCTCACTCTCATCGTCGCGGTGCAACGACACCGGGCGGCATCATCACTCGGCAAGAGAAATCAGTCGACGACTGCGATGATCACTTCCTCTTCTTCTTCTTCTTCCGGCTATCTCTATCTCTCTCTCTTCCTCACCCTTTGGCTAGCACCGAACGCCTACGACCAGTTCGTGTCGGGGCGACTTCGGCGCTGGCTCCTAACACCGCGTGGATCGTGAAACCTTGAGCGCTTCGCGGCTTCCCGACAGCGCAGATCGTTCGATGCTGGCCGGCTCGGGGCCACCAGCCGCGTTCAGCCTTGAACGCCCGCGCTGGGATTGCCGCCGCGTCGAAGCATTCGGGATGGCCTCGCCATGCGGCTGCCGAAGCCCAGAGAGGATCGTGGCGGCGGGGGCGGGCTTCGCCAGATACCGGACGCAGCACCAGGCAGAATGCATTCGACGGCGATGTGCGACGAATCGTGCCGCGTGAGCAGCATTTTCTGGAGCAGTCATCCCATTCGCGATGCAAAATGGAGGACGCCGCTCGACTTTGACCACACCAATGAGCAGGGTCAAAATTGCTGCCCGTGGTCTGAAGGAGTGCGTCCACACGCCTGGCACGCAGCTGGAGTTGCTGAGCTTAAACACCAAAGAGCACAAAACGCGAACACAACCGCCATGCACTCCCATGCCTTACTCACTCAGTATTCGCCTACGTGCGCGTACGCAGCCGCCAAGGGTCGCCCAAATAATTACGTGTATGTCATGAGTATGTGCGCATGTGCAAGGACACATGGTCGGACGCGAGTGCATATGTGACCCTTCTCTTCGAATCTGTGGATATCTCGCTTGCTCGATAAGTCGATCATCGATGTAAGATGAGACATCGGGTTGGGCGTGACAAGAACGCATTCGCCGACGTGACAATAGCGGTTCATTACCCTCCGAGCCTGCTGCCCCACCAAAATTCACCACACAGATCAAACAGCACACACTCAACCCTAGCCCTTGCAGCTTACAATGGAACCCGTCCAGCTTCAGTGCTGCCAGTACCATCGGCGCCATGCCTGCAGAGGGAGCGCAAAGCGAACAGGAGCCCACTTCACCTCGTCGACCGCTCCAAACGCAATCGTCGCAACTCAGGCAGGGGCACTGGCAGACATTTAAGCTAACCTCACGCTCGCTTGTACGCACACATGTGCAGGAATGCCATGGGCAAGTCACCCATGTACCCTTCTCTTCGAATTTCATCTTCTTATCCAAACCCGCAGGGGGCCCCAGAAAAGCAATTGTTGTTCACCATTCCCGAAACAGTGTCTCTTGAAAATGGAAGCAAAAAGAAACGGGCGACCAGAAACGGCAAAAAGACGGCTCCGGGATTGGAACCAGAGCCGGAAACGGCAACATAAACTGCAATGGAACAGAAACAAAAACACTGCGCCGGAACTGGCAACAAAAAGACAAAACGGAACTGGTAACAAAAATGGCCCTGTGCTTTCCTGGGCCCACTAAGCACCAACTCCTCCTCACTCGCTTTGGCGATAGATAGATAGATAGACACGTGTTGTGAGGGCCTCTGGGGTGAATACAGTGCTGCCTGGCGACCTTCTTTTCCTGCTGGCCACTCTGCCAACACGCGCTCTTCCGGCACGATCCCTCCGTCGGGCTGCCAACGCGATCACGGCAGGATAAAGATGCGAAGAGCAGACGAGACGAAGTATTGAGACGAAGCCAGGACGAAGGTAAATTCGAATGAGAATCTTATATCGAGAATTTCTGAGATGGGCCGGCTCTGGAAGATGTTTCGGGCGTCGCGGCCTTCTCAGAGAGCTCTGCAACGCTCAGAGAGCGTTGCTGGACGCTCTGGAACGGATTCGTCCTCGTCCCAGCCCCGCTCGAGGAGAGCACCAATGGAAGCCAGAAGCACACGTGGCTGGAGTCCAATGCGGGACATGCGAGGCCGCCTTGCTGAAGACGCACGCTCAGAGCCAGCGGGCCCAACCAAACGAGGCCTGGGCGCCAGAGAGACATGCGGCCATCCGCGTGTGTATCCAGCTCTCGCAAAAGCCGCTGGAGTGTATCCAGCTTCCTTGAGCAGAGAGAGAGAGAGGGAGAGAGAGAGAGAGAAATATATATATATATATATATGGATATATATATAAGAGGAGAAAACGAGAGAGAGAGAGAGAGAGCGTGAGAAGTGATGGCTACATCTTCGCGAAAACGTGCAGTCTAGAGTAATGCCAGATTTGCGAGGATCTCTGGGAGGAGGCTCACCTGCCGTGGCGGCAGTGCCATTGTCTCTGCAGTGGGTGCGATTTCGAAGCCACGCCGCAGGACGAAGGAGGTTCAATCCGCACCAACCATGGAGGAAGACACAACTGCATAAACATGAACTAGAAACACCACGACCGCTCTGACCGGCGGTGGACAAATTTCCATTTAGTAAACCACCCTTTAGTGAAAACGGCCTGGGACCCAAACCGACGGACCTGGACCCGCACCCTCTCGCGAACCGAAAACGGCCAATTCCTTAATCGACGTGTCAGGGTAGGAGGTCTGTCCACCGCCGAAACGATTGGGGCTGGCGTCGGTGAGGGCCGTGCTGTCAGGACGACGGGTGCACGGTCTGCCACAAGCGCACGGGCCACTTGCCAACCCTGTGCGGCTCCGAGAGAGTGTAATGAAAAGGCACGTGGGACGCGGGCGCCAGGAGGTGGGGCGAGGGGGATGCGACCGGAAACATCAAGGCGAGGAGGAGGATAGAAGTATGACGGCATCCACTTCGGCTAGAACTGCCAAACCTGGATCTGATTGTCATCCATCGCCCCCGAAAAGAAGGTACTGTATATCATATCCTGCGCAGGAGCTGGATGTCAAACGGCCATCAACGAAGCCGTCCAATGTACCCAGTCGTCTCTCCCTCTCATCCCTCCCTCTTCTGCCTCCCTCTCTCTCTCTACCTCCCTCTCCCTACCGAACTCAATTCGCAGAGCGCACTGCGCGAATTGAGCAGTCTGGCAGAACTCACACCCAAAGAAACCATCCTGGGGCACGGAAAAACACAAAATGATCAAAAGGCGCGCTAAATTGCCTGACGACTCTAGCCACCAACACGGTGATATCGTCAGGCTTCCCGCCGTGATACCTGCCCATGGCGTTCATGGGAACAACAGCATGCGCGTAAATGGCAGCTGCGCTCAAGCAGAGGACCACACACGTTACGAGAAGGGAGCAGCAAGAGCACAAAACAATGCGCGCAGGCAGCCGTCGTTTGTTTTGCAAGATGGCCCTGAATGCTAGCAGAGAGTTTCATACGAATGACTCTCAGAACCTATTGCGTCATTGTAGATGTAACTGAACAGGTTTCGGCCAAGACGCATCATGATGCATTAGTGTGTACATGGCCTGGTGCACACCGTCTTTTACATGATTGCGGTGAGGCCTACAGAGCTGGCGCATGCATCGATGGCGATCCTGAGGTAGCAACGCATGGAAGTCAGTTCCTCTCATAGGCGCACATGATCCCCTGTCAACGGCCCACTGCTGCCACGCACAATGAGAACTGGAGGCGTGGAAACACCCCTGCGAACACACGAACGAATCCTCCACGAACGACATCATGCAACTCACAAACTGCTTCTTCGGATGCGGCAGCGCCCAAGGCACCCGGTTGAACCCCCCGCCCGGGCATCGGCCTCACACCATGCCGCTGGGCCGAAACGCTGAAGGGCGTGTGCCTCCCTGCCCGCGCTGAAGGGACTGGCCAGCACAACGCGAGCAACCAACAACACACTCGACACATGCGATAAACATCTTGTCGGCTCCATGGCATGCAGGGAACGGCAATGCCAGAACTGAGTTTCGCAACGAGGGATGCAGTCCTTGAGCCGGATTCCAAGAATATAACTCCAGCACTCCCGAGGGGCGCGCCCTGCACAGTCGGGACGGCCACACACGCTGGACGCGCCCTTGCCCGCGTCAGGAGGGAAAGAACGCGAGATAGCTAAACGTTGCCACTGGGCACGGCGTGGGCGTGTCTTCGAATATTTTGCTCAATCCCTTAATTGAGGGATGAACAAAAACGACCCTACCCTGGGTTACAAGTGCGTGGTCTGTAAACCTCCTGGGAACCCCAAAAGCCTAGAGCCGCCAGGACGCGGCACATCACGCAGGAATCACCCTGCCAACCCACAGGAGTTCAAGCGCACAACGCCTCGTAAACCAGGGTAGGGGCGTTTTCTATGCCCTTGACTTAAACCTCAGTCCCAAAAGCTTCAGCCGTCAATCCTGAACCCGGGCCCGCAGTTTTCAAATCTCTCGGGTTTCCCGCGGTTCCCATCGGATCTGGGGCATTTTCTCGCCTGACTTGTTTTGTCCCGAGACGACACCGAGACAGGCCCAGAATACTCCAAGAGGCCCCCGAAACGGTCCAAAAAGGCCTTAGATCGCCGGACGATCGTTCCGAATCGCCCAAGACGGCCCCCAAGACGGCCCAAGAGGCCTACAACAGGGCCCCAAAACGGCCCAAGAGGGCCTCCTGAGGGGCCAAAAATCAGAACTCATTCATTGTCCGTCGGCTTTATTGCAAGGTTTTGGTGTTTTCGTATTTTTCTGCTTCCCGACGTTTCAAGACGGCCCAAAAAGCCCCCAACATCGCCCCAAGAAAACCGAAGAGGTCTCCAAAAGGGCCCCCAAACGGCCCAAGCGAATCAGACTAAGTGGTCTTCTGAAGCAAATCCTTCATTCCAGTCCCTAAGTCCGAAGCCCTACCTTCTAGGGCGAGCCTTGGCGGTTCCGCCCTGCTCAGGGGTATAAATCCACGTTTATACCTCAACGCTAACAAAATCAGCGACAAGAAAATCTGACAATAAATCTGGCGGGCGGGCGCTCGCCGCAATCCCATCAACAGTTCAACGTCCGCTCTCGGACGCGTGGCGTCCTCGAGCCAAAATCCAGCGGTCGTCGTCGACCTTCGCGCGACGGCGACCCCATTGCAGCAGCGTCAGCCGCCCCCGCCGCTCCACCCCACCGCTCCACGATAGAGAAGAGGGCATCAACGCCGAGCCAGCCTCGAGGGCGCGACTGCTCCTCGCAGGCGGGTCACTGGGGCAGGCTGCCGGCACTGCTAGGACAAATCCTCGGAACAACACGGCGGGCAGCAGGGCCAAGCAGGTCCTATACTGCACCCCAGGACGCACGCCGCGCAAAAACAGCGCGCGGCGCCCGCTCGGGCCTCCATAGGCCGGGAGCCGGGCGCGCAATGCAAAGGCTGGCGGTCCTTCTCGACCCAATGTCTCGTCATCGTCGTCATGAATGACCTGTTTAAGGCCTCTCCCATGTCAGGCCATCTTCCCCATGCTCAAGATAGAAGCCTCTCCCAGAGCCCATACCGCGCTGGGCGTCTTGTCCGTGGCCTCCGCGCTCCTTGGACCCAAATGGGGCAGGCAAGAAAGCTGTTGGTTCCCACGGCTCGCGACCGCCCTGTTCGCTGAGCCGACCACCAATTAGGTAGGGGCGAAAAACGCCTTCGCATGGGTAGCCCCTCTCTTGTCGGTGTCAAATGTCTCCCCTGCTTCTGCGTGCGCTCCCGATCAAGGAAACCCCGCAGTCGACCAAACGCGGAGCTGGCCGCTTTCCTTCGAGGCCCCGCACCCACTGGGCCCCGATTCCATGACAAGCTCCCGGATAATTTCCGCTGCGTCCTCGCATGACCGTTCGGCACTGAACTCCTTCTCCTTCAGCGCCGCGTCGGCTCTCGCCCCTGCTCGCGCAGGCGCCACCGGGGGCTCCTAAAGGGGGGGCCGAGCAGCGCTGCTCGGCCCCTGCTCCTGCGCTGCGGAGGATGGCGTCCTCCGCGTCATGGGTCTGGTCCCGCTCAGCACGGCCAGCGCTTCTGCGTCGCTCCCGACCAGACTACTTGCCCTGTCGTTCGCCGTCAGAGACGGAAGCAGCAGGCTCTTTAGCTCCGCTCGATCGCGGATCCTCTTCGGTCGGGTGGCCCCGCCTCCACGTCTGCCTCAAGCGAGTCCGGTCGGCGGACGATGGCCCCGGCTCGGCTCGCGGCTCGAGCCAGCCCCGTAAACTCGGACACCGGCGCCTGCTGGCTCGCCGAAAAGGACCGTCGACCCGCTCGGGTATTCAACTCCTCCAGTCGAAGAAGACAGCGCAGAGCTCAATGCGCAGCTGTTCACGTTCCCGCTCTTGCCCGCCATTCCTCGTTTCCTGGCCAGGCAAGCTGCGTCCGCGTAGCGCGCTCTCCCTCCTTTCGATCAGACCGTCTCTTCTTCCGCCGGCGACTGCTAGTCGGCGCGCTGAATCCTCCCGCCTGGGCGCGCGTGGAGGCGGCCTGGAACGGCCCCGCCGAACAGTCCTAGCTCTTTCTTCGTGCCTAGCAGGGTTCTCTTCTTCGCGTCCGCCAATCCCGCTGGACGCGGCGGCCCGCCCCTGTCTCGCGCGGCCCCCTTGCGCCGGCGCGCTCGGACGCGCGACTCTCCGCGCATCGAGAACGCGGGTGAAGCCCCGAGCAATCTGGGCGCCGCCCACTAAAAGCACGTGACATATAACGCATTTCGACTCGCTCAGCACGTTCTCGCAAAGCTTATCCCCATCGCTCCAACCTGTTCCCATCAGACGGCAGAGTAGTCTAGCTCCGCGCCGCGCCATCTTCTCGAAGCGCAACCACCGCAGAACAAAGGTGCCCCTCTCGCCGCATGCCCCCCAGCACGCGGGGTCGGATCGGCCTTGGAAGAAGTGGATCGTCTCCCGGTTGATCGCATGACCTTGATCCATCAGTACCACTTTCCTCTCTCACATAAGACTGGGCCATTCGATTTCTCCTAACACTCCGACGGCAGGAATGCATGGCACAAGCGTCCGACGGCGGCTCAGTAAACATGCCCTCGGGACGGCAGATGTGGCCCTCGGCCCTCGGCCCTTGGCCCTCGGCCCTCGGCTCTCTCTTTCTCTCTCTCTCTCTCTCTCTCTCTCTCTCTCTCTCTCTCTCTCTCTCTCTCTCTCCCTCTTTCTCTCTCTCTCTCTCTCTCTCTCTCGTCCCCCCCCAGATCTGTCTGCGCGCTGATCGCCGCGCTGACTGGCCGTTCTCGGAGACCAGACGGCCTTCCTCAACGATCCTCGATCGCAAGCATCCTGGGCCGGGGCACTCGGGGCGGCGTCGCAAAAGGGCGGCGGGCATCAACCGTCGCCTCCTGAGCGTTCATGGCACGCGGCTGGGACGTCGCCCGACGACGCCCCCCCCCCCCCCCCCCCCGATGAGATTGAATCATCAGAAAGGCGCGACGCGCGCGAAGCTCGATCCCTTCCACGTGGCCACTCGAACATTTACCGCGCCAGACCCAATCAAAAACTGGCCCCATGCTATGCGATGCGCGGCGGCCCTTCCCGGCCGACGCCTCGCCCCCCGAGCGCTCGCTTCTGATCTCACGCACTGCCAGCGCGTGGCCCTCGCTGGCCCTTGCGCGAGCCGTGCTGCCACCTGGGGGTGCTCCTTGGAAGCCCACCCCCACGTCGGCCGCGGCCGCTCGCGTTCCCGCGGCCGCTGACGGTCGAGCCGCCGTTCGCTGAGCGCACCTCTCCCACCCGGCGCCGGGTCGCTCGCGAGTGCCGGAGGCTTCCGCGGACAGCTTCTCGGCGCCGTTCTGCCAAGGATCATTGGCAAGCCCCCCATGCAGGAGCGCCCCCCCCACGCGGGAAGGTCCTGTGGCGGCCTGCCTCTCGCTCGGCCTCCGCGGCGACGCAGGGCCCGCTCCGGCGCGCGCCTCGCCGTCTTGGGGGGCAGCGCAGAGCGCGCCCGCGCTCGCGTTCCGTCGCGCGTCGAAAGGCGGTCCCGGAGGGCCCCCGCCGGCCGCCCCCAAACGATCCCCCCCCCCCGAAGATTCCAGCCCTTAGCTCTTCAGAGCCTGCCGCTTCGCAAGCCGGCATCAGCGATTCGCGCGCCTGGTCGCGAGCGACCGCGTCGCCTGGTCCGACCCGCCCCTGGGCCGCTCCTCTCGGCGTTTCTTCAGGGCGCCCGCCTTCGCGGAGCTATCGCGGTTCAGTCCCGCGACGGAATGGGCCCCCATAAAGGCCGCCTTCTTCGCGCGAGCGATCGGGGCGCACTCGGCGGCGAAGGTGTCGGGGAACGCCGGCGCCCGCACCTCGTCGAGGGCCCCTTCGAGCTCGTTCTCGAAGCCCCCGATCCGATCCGCGGACTCAGCAGCCGATTCGATCTGCTCATCGCCGCGCTCTGTCCATGAACGGCCGGGCCCGATGGCCCCGGTCGATCCCATCGCCTCTGAACTATCCAGCTGCCTGGCATCTGTCTGCGCCTTCAATATCGCGACCTCCCGTTCCGCCGCGCGTTCCTCCGCCCCCAAGCCTTTCGGCGGCCCCCCTCTCTAACTTCCGGGGGTCCCTGGCCCTATCTCGTCCGTGAAGGGTCGTCGTCGCGAGCTCGCAAAGCTTGGCGTTCTTCTTCTGGGCCCCCGGGCCCCCTCTACCTCGTGGGAACGCGCCGTCATTGCGTCTCCAGTGCAAGCGGCGGTTCCATTTCATCCTCGCCGGTTCTGGCACGAATCCCTCGCGGACCGCTCCGACGAACGTCGGATCTTTAAATTTATCACTCACCCCCTTCGGATTGTCATCGTCGCAATGCTCGGCTTGCTCTCCCGGAACACCTGACGGGTTTCCGATCTCTTCGCTCCCCGCATATCCCGGGGCCGTCGTTCAAGCGGGCCCTCCCGTCCGTCGCTCTCCTGGCCTCCGGCTTCCACTGCGTGTCCTGCGTCTCCAGGTTCGACGTTATCGCAAGCTCCTGCGCGCGCCTTGGGCTGGGTTTGGCCAGCATCATTCGCCCCTTCGCCCTCGGGCCCTGCGCCCCTGTTGCCATCGTCTATTATTCCAGATTCCGCAAGTTCTTCAGACTCGCGCTTCTTGGATTCCCCCCCCGACGGGATGAAACTATGCATCGGCGTCGCCAGGAAGTTCCGAGTCGCTCATCGCCCCGCGCCTTTCTTTGCCAGCTCCACCGTAGTCGGGCGCCCGCCATCGCTCACTGACGTCGCCGATCAAATTGTTCGCCGATCGCGCGAGTCGTCGACGACGAGGTCAACCAAAATGACGATATTTCCCAAAGCAGCCACCCGCTGAACCAGACGAAGTGAACTTCCGAAACAAATCCTGCATTCCAGTCTCTAAATCCGACCCCCCAATTCCAGGGCGTGCCTTTTTTGCGGCTTCGCCCTGGCGCGGGGTGGGTTGCCCCGGCTATATCGCAGCACGCCTCAACATAAACGAGACCAACGACAAGAAGAGCAATGGCAATAATACGCGCGAGTGTTCTCCTCCGGCGAGCAGGCGCTGGCCGTAACCCAATCGACAATTTAATCTCCGTGCTCGAATGTTTCGCGCCCTCGAGCCAAAATCTAGCGGCCGTCGCGGTCAACCTTCGCGCGCCGACAGCCCCATGAATCATCGCACCTCGAGACGGAACGCGACGGCTACGAGGGGCCTCGCAACCTGCCCAGCAGGAGCCCAAGATCGCCCCAAGTGGTATCACATGCGCGGGCCTTCCAGGCGGCGCTCGAAACGCCCCCGCACGGAGTGCTTCAGTGGCGCGGCGACGGAGGCCGCCGCCACAAGAAAAGAAAGAGAAAGAGAGAGAGAGAGAGAGAGAGAGAAAGAGAGAGAGAGAGAGAGAGAGAGAGAGAAAGAAAAAAAAGAGAGAGAGAGAAAGAGAGGGAGAGAGAGAGAGAGAGAGAACCAAAAAAAAGAAAGAGGGAGAGAGAGAGAGAGAGAGAGAGAGAAAGACAGAAAGAGAGAGAGCGACAGAGGGATAGAGAAAAAAAGAGAGAGAGAGAGAGAGAGAGAGAAAGCGAAACATAAAGAAAGAGAGATAGCGACAAAGAGGGATAGAGAGAGAGACTTTTTTAACAAAAAAGAGAAAGAGAGAAGGGAGAGAGAGAGAGAGAGAGATGGAGAGAGACAGAGAGAGAGAGAGAGAAACAACACATAGGAGAGAGGAGGGGGAAGAGAGAGAGAGAGAGAGAGAGAGAGAGAAAAAAAAAAAAAAGAGAAAGAAAGAAAGAAAGAGAGAGAGAAAACAAAACAACAAGAGCGAGAGAGAGAGAGAGAGAGAGAGAGAGAGCGCGAGGCAGGGCGAACAGTTACATTCTACGGCTCTTCAAGCATGGGGAACTGACTTGTAGGATGATGCCTCTTGCGAAAGCCAACGTAAGTCGACTGCCGCGCGCAATGGCACTGAGGGCGTTGAACCATCCAGAGGTTGCCATTCCAGGCAGGATGATGCATTGTCACAACGACCGATGTTGCGAAAGTAACCCGAGTGTTGAGCCAGAATTTGGCAAGCATATGATTGACGCGCAACGTCAGCCATGCCTGTCGCGATGGTACAGGATAGACAGCTCTGACGACGCCTGTGACATGAAGTAATTGCCAACACAATCAATTATTCCACCGCGCGTGACGCTCGCTTGTCATAGGACCCGTGGTCTTGTTCATTGTTTTGCCGATCGGCGCGGGCCATCGCCCGCCCCCTACCTATGGGGCAGATCCTGGCTGTTTCGACGCCTGTCTCAAGCAGGCGGAGTAAGCGCGGGCTGCTTGGTAGCTGTTTACCAGTGCTGGTACTATTACATTGCCAAATTGATTCGCCTTCCCCGTAGGATGTGCCCATGGGATTTGCACTGGGACTACCCCCGCGCGATTCCTCCGCAGGACTCCCGAAATGATTCCCCCATAGGACTCACTCATCGGATTCCATATATTCCCCATAGGATTCCCCATGCGATTCCCCGTGGGGGTCCCTCCATGATACTCCCCGATCTGTTTCCCACTTACGGTGTCCCCAATGAAGCATTGTTTCAAACAGTCGCGCTAATCAAAGGTCCGGAGACAGACCTCCCCTCCCCCCCATTTCGCCCAATGCCGAACCGCCGAATGAGAAAACGTCCGCATGTTTGTTTATTGGTTTGGCTCCGGAGCGAAACCATGGCCGATGCGAATAGCACGAACAGCGGTACACACATTCCACTCGAATTGCGGCCTGCTGGGTGTGCTTTACAGAGGGCCCTGCACACGAAATGCTGAAACTTGCGCCACTGCATGTACGAAAACTGAATGTAACTTGCGGCAAGAAAGAATACCAACTCAGTGATAATCGCGGCCACCACATGAACACATCGTCGTGCGAGGCTTGCTTCGGCACCCGCAAAACCAGATGTTCCGCCATGTATGATGCGGGGGGGGAATTCTTGATGAGGTCGGCACGAAATGCTCTCTAGTGCATTTTAAAAAAGCTTTCGTGGTGCTCGGGAAGAGAAGCTTGGTGACAACTTACCTCCGTAGATATTGAGGCCCCCATGTGTCATCTTCTCCGACCAATCCTCCAGCTGGAAGCCAAGTGCGCCGAAAATGCTTGACGTAGAAGTTCAACAATTGAGAACCGTGTTTTGTGAGCCCGGGACTCTATTCAATTCGGCTTTCGCCAACTTTCCCTCCTCCTGCACCTCGAGATCCCCACCTTTCGCTTGTAGCCGGAACCCCCTGCGTTTGTTGCATCCACCCACACCCCGACGACGTTCAGTTGGGAATACATTCGTGCGCAGTGTTCTATACTAAACATCATATTGTTAACATCCCCGCGTGGAATAATTGATCATAATGTGCGTAACAGGCTTCATCATATCGAACCGCACACCATGGATGTTCTGAAAATGTGGATCACCACTGGCAGCCGCAAGCGGGAACCTCGGATGCGGCTTCGGCAAACCCAGAAGATACGTTGGGCTGGGTGTTGGGCTGGGCGTCGAAAAGGGTGTCGGTAAGGCCGTCGGGAACGGCATCGGGAAGGCCGTCAGGTAGGGCACTGGGAATGCCGTCGGGTAAGGCGTCGGGAATGCCTTCGGGTACGCGTTTGGGAAGGCCGTCGGGTGCGCCGTTGGGAAGGCCGTCCGGTATGGTGTCGGGTACGGCGTCAGGTACGGCGTCGGGTTACGGCGTGGGGTTCGGCGCTGGGTTGGGCGGTAGGTTGGGCGCCGGGCTGGGCGTCGCAACGCTGCACGCCTGAGTATTCCTGGCAGAGTTCCAATGGGTAGCAGCACCCGTGCTTCCAGTGAATGCCACATGTTGGCTACCAACTGCGAATGCCAACTGCTTAGTCGTAGTAGCGGTAGTGGTAATATTTTCTTACTATCAATAGTAGTAGTAGTAGTAGTAGTAGTAGTAGTAGTAGTAGTAGTAGTAGTAGTAGTAGTGGTAGTGGTAGTAGTAGTAGTAGTAGTAGTAGTAGTAGTAGTAGTAGTAGTACTAGTAGTAGTAGTGGTAGTAGTAGTAGTAGCAGTAGTAGTAGTAGTCGTCGTAGTAGTATTAGCAGTAGGAGTAATATTAGTAGTAGTAGTAGTAGTAGTAGTAGTAGTAATAGTAGTAGTAATAGTCGCAGCAGTTACAGTAGAAGAAATCGTAAGTAGTATAGTAGTAGTGGTAGTAATAGTGGTAGTAGTAGTAGTAGTAGTAATAGTTGCTGTTGTAGTAGCAGTCGTAGTGGTAGTAATCGTTGTTGTAATGATAGCAATACATGTAGTACTAGTCGTGGTGGTAGTGGTAAAAATAAAATTAGTTGTAGTAATATCAGTAGTAGTCGTAGTAGTAGTAGGTGGCAGTAGTAGTAGTAGTAGTAGCAGTAGTAGTAGTAGTAGTAATAGTAGTAGTAGTAGTAGTAGTAGTAGTAGTAGTAGTAGCATTCGTGATAGTAGCGGTTGTCGTGGAAGTAGTAATAGTGGCAGTAGTAGCAATAGTAGCAAGAGTAATGCTAGTAGCCGTAATCATACTAATAATAGTCGTAGTACAACTAAGAATCAACAACCGTAACATGATAATAGTGGTAGAAAAATGTGGCAATAGTCGGAATGGTGGTAGTAGTTGTCGGTGTACTCGTCGTAGAAGTAGCAGTAGTAGTAGTAGTAGTCGTAGCAGTAGTAGTAGTAGTAGTAGTTGTAGTAGTACTAATCGTAGTAGTAGTAGTAGTAGTAGTAGTGGAAGAACGGACAGTATTAATAGAAATGGTAGTCGTCATACTAATAGTACTAGTCGTAGTCGTACTAGTCGTAGCACCACTACTACTAGTAATATTAGTACCAGTATTAATACTAGTAGCCGTCGCAGTGGCCGTCGTCGTCGTAGTAGTAGTCGTAGTAGTAGTAGTAGTGGTACTGGTTGTAGTAGCAGTAGTAGTAGTGCTACTATTAGAAGTAGTAGTACTAATAGTCGCAGTAAGAGTCGTAGCTGTGGTTATAGTAACCGTAGTGGTGGTAGTAGTAGTAGTAGTCGTAGTAGTAGTAGTAGTAGTAGTAGTAGTAGTTGTGGTACTCGTAGTAGCCGTCGTAGTTGTAGTAGTCGTAGTAGTAACCGTCGTCATCGCCGTAGTAGCGGTAGTAATAACAGCACTCGTAGTATTAGTAATAGTAGTACTAGTAGTGATAGTGGTAGCAGCAGTAGTCGCAGAAAGAGTAATCATATTAGTAGTAGTAGTAGTAGTAGTAGTAGTAGTAGTACCTGTAGAAGTAATAGAAATCGAAGTAGCACTAGTAGTAGTATTGGTAGTGGCAGCCGTAGTGGTGCTGGTAAACGCAGTGATAGTCATAGTAGCAGGAGTAACCGTCGTATTAGTGGTAGTAGTAGTCGTAGCAGTCGTAGTAGTAGGGGTAGTAATAATAATAGTAGCCGTCGTGGTCGTAGTAGTAGAAGTGCAAAAATCGGACTAGCAGTAACCGAAGTAGTAACAGTAGTCGTAGCCTTCTTGGTAGTAGTCGCAGTACTGATGCGGTAGTCGTAGTAGTAATGGTAAATGCAATTCCAGTGGTAGTGGTAGTAGTAGTGATAGTAGTAGTACTGGTAGTAGTACGCGTAGCAGTAACAGTAGTAGTAGTAGCAGTAGCAGTAGTAGTAGTATTAGCAGCAGTCGTAGTAGTAGCAGTAAAAGTAGCAATAACGATAGAAGTAGGAATACTAAGAGTAGTGGTGGAACGAGTAGTCGGAGTCGTGATAGCAGTACAAGTAGTAGCAGTAACAGTAGTCATCAGAACTACAATAGTAGTAATCGTAGTAGTAGTAGTCGTCGTCGTAGTAGTAGTAATGGCCGTAGCAGCAGTAGTAGTAGTAGTAGTAGTAGTAGTAGTAGTAGTAGTTGTACTAGTAGTAGTAGTAGTAGTAAGAGTAATAGTAGTAGTAGTAGTAGTAGTGGTAGTATTAGTAGTAGTAGCCGTAGTAGTTCTAGTAGTAGTAGCAGTTGGAGTAGTAGTAGTTGTAGTAATATGAGTGGTAGTGGCAGTGGCAGTGTTAGTAGTAGTAGTAGTAGTAGTAGTAGTAGTAGTACTAGTAGTCGTGGCAATCGTCGTAGCAACAGTTTTCGGAAAACAAATCATCGGAGTAGTAGCAGTAGCAGCTGCAGCCGCAGCAGAAGTAGTAGCAATAGTGGCCGTAGTAGCACTTGCATTAGGAGTGGTAGTCGTAGTAGCAGCAGCTGCAGCAGCAGGAGCAGCAGCAACAGTAGTAATAGTAGTCGTAGTCGTCGTAGTAGCAGTAGCAGTAGCAGCAGAAGTAGTAGTAGCAGTGATGCTAGTAATAGTAGCAATAGTAGCAGTAGTAGTAGTAGCAGTAGTAGTAGTAATATCAGTAGTCGTGGTAGTAGTAGTAGTAGTAGTAGTAGTAGTAGTAGTAGTAGTAGTCGCGGTCGTAGTCGTAGTTGCACGGACAATAGTAGTAGTCGCACTCGTAGTAGTGGTAATCATAGCAGTAATAGTGGTCGTAACCGCAGTAGTAGCAATAGCGGTACTACTACTACTACTACTACTAGACGTAGTAATAGCAGTACTTGTAGTAGTAATGATAGTTGTTGGTGTACTCGTCGTAATCGTGATAGTAGTCGCAGCCATAGTAGTGGTAGTAGTAGTAGTAGTAGTAGTAGTAGTAGTAGTAGTAGTAGTAGTGGTGGTGGTGGTAGTAGTAGTAGAAGTAGTAGTAGTAGTAGTAGTAGTAGTGGTAGTAGTAGTAGTAGTACTGATACGAGTCGTGGTAGTAATAGTAGTAGCAGTAATAGTTGCAGAGCCTGTAGCAATAGTAGTTGTAATCGTGGTAGTAATGATGATACCAGTAATAATGATAGTAGTGGCCGTCCTAGTGGTAGTAGTAGCAGTAGTAGTAGCAAACAAGTGGTAGCAGTAATCATAATAGTCGTAGTGCTAGTAGTAGTAGCAGCAAGGGTCATAATGGTAGTAGTAGTAGTAGTCGTAGTAGTAGTAGTACTAAAAAGTAATAGCAGTAGTAGTAGTAGTAGTAGTAGTTGCCGTAGTAGAAGTAGCGGTAGTAGTTGTAGTACTAGTAGTAGTAGCAGTAGTGTTGGGTAGAAATAGTACTAGTAGTAGTGGTAGTAGTCGTACGTACTAGTGGTTGTAGTAGTACTGCTACTACTACTACTTCTAATAGTACCAATAGTACCAGTAGTAGTCGTAGTAGAAGTCGTCCTCGAAGTAGTAGTCGTAGTAGTAGTACTCGTAGTGGTAGTAGTCGTAGTCGTAGTGGTAATAGCGATAGTAGTGGTAGTAGTAGTAGTAGTAGTAGTAGTAGTAGCAGTAGTGGTAATAGTAGTATGAGTAATACTAGAAGTGGTAGTCGCAGTCGTAGTTG